AAGTTGCCAACTGAAAAGCAGCGTGACAAAAAGGTGTGTCATGTCTATCTCCCCTTTTCAGGTGTGATTTGCTAATTTTTTACAGTTTCCCTGACATTTCTCAGTGCCCCTCACCTTTTCCACACTTCCATGGGACTTACTCCCAGATAACTCTGTAAAGAGTTGTAGCCCTCCCATGTCATGGAGTCCCTAGTTTGGTTGTTTTTGATATAGAGTTGTCATTAGCTGCCCTGAGGACTTTTGGTTATATGATGGCTTAAAAATATTAGAAATAAATAAATGAAAGATCCAATCCTATGCACATTTAGAAAAGAAAAAGGCCTACAACTCCCAGAGGGAATCAGCCATGGTGATGGATGGCTGGGGCATGCTGGGAGTTGTAGGCCTGGCTGGGGCATGCTGGGAGATGTACACTTTTCTTCTATCTAAATATGGCTAGGATTGTTTTCTAAACAATGCTTTTTGAACATATCATGACAAGAGCTATCGAGGAAGTAAAATATTAAGACTGTGTATATATTGACGCCGTCTCTGATGCCTGAAGATATAAAAAGAGAAAAACAAGGATGCAACTCGATAATGAGGGTGGCAATAAAGAGCAGCTCCACTGGCAGATTTGAAGGAGGTGTTGTCAGCACTAGAGCTTATGAGAGATGATAGGTGAATTGGAAGCAGCAGCTGTGAGGGACTGCGAAAGCAAAGGGGCGTAGCGGTAAGTCTGCTGTCGCAGAAAATGGGAAAGCTCTCTGTTGGGATTGATAACTGGAAGATAGGGGCAGGAGGGGGAGGTAAGTGCAACCTGTTCCCTATGCTTTGCACAGATATTACGTGTAGCCACAGCTAATGCATAGATGGGACTAATGGCTGTGAGAAACCTGCAGAGCCTCAGGGAAGGTACCTTCCTTGATCACCAACCACCAGGAGTGGTGAATTCTTCACCACTTCCTCTAAAGAAGGATGCAAACTTCCTTTTGCTGCGGAGAACTAGGATGGTTGGGCCTTCCCTCAGCCTCCCTCCCCTTGTCTCCCAGGACATGGGGCTAGCCTGTGTATGCAACAGCCTCTGAAACAGAGGGAGGGAGGAACTATGTAAAACCCCCAGCAGGGGGCATTGCTCTTTGGCTTTCCACTTGGAACCAGGTGTGCATAATGTGTCCAAGTAACTGGTAGCCCAGAAGCAACATTGCCACATCAGGAACCCCTCTGACTAATAACCCTGTAAGCTTTTCTTGCACTTGCTTATTGAAAATCTGCATCCATATTTCATCCGTGCATGTATCCAATAAACTGTATATCATCTTAGCTGTTTTTGTTTCTTCTTCAAATCTGAAGTGAATGCCTTGGCTGGACCAGGCCTCAGGAGTTAAGTTGGAAGACAAAAAAGAAGGCCTTGTATAAGCCAAGGAAATGCCTTGAAGTAGTGCTTTGACTGGCTGTAAGTTGAATTAGAAGAAATGCAGCAAGACTTGGTGCCACCTTGATTAACTTCATTTTATCACCTTCCTTTTATTAGTATTAATAGACAAATAAAAACATAGCACCTTAGAGACTGCTGACTTATTAACAGCTTGGACTGCAATACTTTTTTCTTTTTCTCGCTGCAGATTAAAGCAGTCACTCTTCTAGAGTTGATTATAGCTAACAAACCTTCAAGAATACATATAGCACCCAAAGTAAAATTATGCCTCAGTCTACTTGGAGTTGCATGAGGTTTTTTTTTCCCCAATGTCATCAGTTCTGCATTCAGATGCATCATGCAGAGACTCCATTGACAGCAATTGCCTATTGCTCTCAAAAGGCTTCTGTAGGGAAAGGCAGCATATAATAGAAATGCCAAAAGATCAGACAACTACATGATAATCATTATTACCCCTTCCTGGGATCATGTGAACCTACCCAGTTTCTCGTAAGAAGTAACATTCACACTTATGCTATCCTGTGATACAGGTTTTTGAGACATTTGAATATAACTGCCCAAACACACTCTGTTTGTTTAGCTATGAACAATTCAGAAAGAGGACTCATAATCTATTGTTGGTGGTAAACACTGGGTTGTTTAAATCATGAATTGTCATTACATGTGAATGCAGAATCATGGGTTGTTTTGCCAGGCTAAGAGGAAACAGGCAAGCACCATTTTAAAAAACCCAGAGCAAAACACAAGCTGTTTACATGCCAGTAGTAAAGCACCCCAAAATCATTTGAGATTCAGAGAAGGAGTAGAAGGAAGAAGATGGAAACAAACTGTCTAAGGACTGAGAAAACAAACCATGATTTGTCTGGTCATCTACTTGACAAACTCTGGGTAGGGCAGCAACCTGGCTTCTCTGTGGATGGCATGGTTCAGGCTGTCTTTCCATCTGTTGACTGACTGCTGGGGAGAGAGAGATCTGGTCTGAACTGGAGGAAGTTGCAAGAGCCACCGGCAGGTAGAATGAGGCCCAAGGAAAGCCTTTGTGACCCAGCATAGGTGTTCCCTGAGCATCTCCAGCAGTCTGAAGGAGCCAAGAATGAGAGAACCCCTGAGTCACATTCAGGACTTGACTCCTGGAAGGCCACTGGGTGGAGGAGGGTCACCGAAGGAAGTGACCTACTGATACTAATTTGGTTCACCCACCTAGTAGCACTAAAGGCAGACGGGATGAGAAGGAAATAGTCTTAAGCTCCTGTCAGTCGTCGTTCCACTGTTTCCTGGGCCAACTTGCTCCTTCTTGTTATTAACCATATCCATTTCTTGAATAATGGCTGGTTTCAACATGCCTTCTCAGCGCTCTCTTCAAAGACTCTCTCTGCAGTAGCCTCTAAATGGATGAGGGGAAGTGGGTCACCCTGTCTCTTGAGGTTAAAGAGCTTTCAGATCCACCAGAAAATTTACAGCCCAAGGCAAGGGAGTGAAAATTGGCACAGCAGAAATGCATGTTCTGCTGCCTCCGTCATCAACCCTTCCGTCTTCCCTAGCAAAGAGTGCTTTTGAGTGGAGTCAGCCCGTTGTCCTGTTTCATTTTGCATAAGCATCATTCCTGCAGTGCTGCAATGAATGGTGATTTCCTATGGTACTTAAAGTGACAACAGAAGCGTGACAGAGTGCAAAATGGAACTGCAAAGATGAGACATGAGGCAGATAAACATTTTAGTGTCAAGTGCTGCCGATATGTCTATTCATTATATGCGAGAGCCAGCTCTGTATCAAGAAATCAAGAGAGGTTTATCAGCTCAGCTTGTCAGTGGCGCAAGCAGTTGAGAAACTCTCCAGGTTTCCAAAGGTGGCTGAAAACTGTGTCGCTCCAGAATGGCATGAAAAAGGCCAGGATATATACTTGACCCTTCTTCTTGCAAACACGGATGTTTAAACTACTTGGCAAATGATAGGTCCAAGATCACTGGCCCATGTCAAAATAGATTTAAGTATAAGGTAAAATAATGGGGCCAGCACAAAACATGGGTATCACATCTAGACAGTGATGTTGATCACTAAAACACAATTATTATTTGCTCTGTTGCTAGGCAGAGTGAATTTAAGATCAACAGCGGCCCAGAAAAAATGGGGGACTGACCTGTCCCTGTGTCTTTAATATAATATCCATGAATTAACAGGTGAACCTTTTTACAGCACAAGGATAAGTGTTTCTCCCTGCTAATTTCTGGATGGTATATTGATGTTAAAGACACAAGAGCAAGGCAGGGCATTTTTTCCTGATCAGTTGGCAATCCTGAATTAGAAACATAGAAACTGAGTGAGTCATCTAGTCCAACCCCTCACTCCAGCTGGCTCCACTCATGACGTGCCTACCGTGTGCATGTCTAGCCTATCCTTGAACACCCTCACTGATGGGACTTCAACCACCTCCTGTAAAACCAGTTCCATACCCTAGGAGCCCTGACTGTCAGGAAGTGCTTCCTGGCATCCAAATCAAACCTTGGTTTCCTGAGCTTCACTACGTTGGAGCACATCCTGCCTTCCTCTGCAGCGGAGAACAGGTCTCTACCCAATAAACAATTCAATCCACCTAGTAAACAAATGAAGTATAACTTTACTTCTGTGTCAAATATTACAATCCTCCCCAGCCTGGTACCTCCAGAAATTTTGCACATCAGTGCCCATCATCCCCAACCAACATGGCCAGTAGTCAGGAATGGTGGAAGTTGTAGGCCAACCTATCTCAAAGCTGGGGAATGCTGATCTTACTGTTACATTATAACTAAATTGCTATCTGCTGCCAGTTCAGAAATTGGCAATCCTCATTGACAGTAATTTAATGTAAAGTAGTTACCTTGCAGTGTAAGACCCTGGATGGCTCAGGCACTGGCTACATTAGATATCCGCTCCTAGAATCCTGAACTCTTGGTTATCTGTGCTGCAACATACTTCGGGCTGCTGTCCTTCTCTCCATGAAACTGTAACTAGGTTGATATATGTATTAGGCCTTGACAGTGGCAGATTCTTCAGTGCGAAAAGCATGTCCTACCACCTCTCCGTCTCTGTTCTTTCTTTAAGTAGCAGTTTTTAAAAATACTCGATGACCTCCCTACTCTCCAGAGTAGATTAGAGAAGATCCATTGCCAGCCTCCCTTAGTGTAGGCATGGGAAATGCAGGTTCCAGAGCCAAGTATACCCTCACCTCCATCCCTACAATACTGCCTGTCCTGGAGGCTAGAGTTTGTAGCATTTTTGGCAACAGATTTCTACCATCTTCCTAAAAGCCTCTAAGCTTTTGTTGTGATCACAGTCATTTGAAAGAAAAATAAAACGCTATGTATATAAAAGGCAGGGAGAAGTATACCTTTTAACTGAAATTATCTTATTTCCTCACAGAAAATTTTACGGAAAATGGGATTGTGTTAATGAACAGGCCATGTAATAAGATGCATGATTAGAAGAGGCTATGATAAATTAATGGGGTGAGAAAGAGAATAGATTGGCTGGTATACACCCTGCCTGACTGAAGTATCACAGTTCTATTCCTGATGTTTGTTTATGTCTTCTGGCTTTCTTTAAACAGTTTGTCTTCTGCCGTGAATGTAAAGAAGAATACCATGAAGGGGAATGTCACACTCCCTTGGAAGCTCAGGGAGCCACTTCTCAGAAGGTAGGCACCTCACATTCATAGCATCTCACAGAACTATAAATCTGGGACAACTAGATATACACATGAAAGAATTAGACTCAAGAGAAGGAGCAGTTATGGCGGTGACTCAAACTGGGAGTGGGTGGTGGGCTGTAGGGAGGCTTGACATTCAAGGGAGAGAGAGGAACCTGGTTCAGGTAGATCCAGAGACGCTTCCTCCCCACCTCTGCGCCATCAGCATAGGTGTATGGATGCAGCCAACAGAATGTCTGAGCTAACCCTATGGGGATATATGGGAGTTTCTCCCCATTTCCCTCTTTCCTTGGCTGACTCATGCTTGGGGGCAGTCTGTGAGGACCTTGGTTGTTGAGTTGGCACCCCAGTTCCTTTCGGCATACATGTTCGGTGTTCACAGAGTCCCTGTATTCACCTGCCAAAGAGATATCTTTGCATGGTGGACTCAGCATGTCACCTCCGCTGGCATTGCAAGGTCTCCAACTGACACCTATTTTGATGCCCTACAGTTCTCTGGAATAACACTATGCCAGGGGCATGGTGGACAATTAAAATGGCAGCTGCTGGCTCCAGCGGCCTAGTGCTGATTGGAGTGTTGGTGTCTGCCACCACCTACTGCCACTGTCATTAGGAAAGCTTGAAGAACGCTAGATAGACTTTTGACTTGGAGCCAGTCCTGATCAATGGCAATCAATTCCTGGCTCAGGAATTTATATGGAGAAGTGAGTTCAAGATGTTTGAGAAGCAATGAATTGTGGTTGCATTTCTCTCTTTGGCATAAAAGGAGCCTTATCAGCTAATGCAGTGGGATAAAAACCCAATGAATAAAATAAATAAATAATCGCAGTGTTTGCCTTGCTGCTGATTTCAGAGTTCTTTTGATTTGCCTAATCATTTTCAGTTTCTTAAGAAACTTAGAAGGGATAACATTGGTCAGCAGAGACTGGGCTTTCAGGATTGGGTGTTGATGCTGTTTTCATGCTCCATAGCCGAAGCTCGCTGGGCAGTTTTCAACAATATGCATTGTAACAGAAAGCCACCTGATGGCCTCTTGGCAGGGCAAGAGTTAACACTTTGCCCAGATACCCAGCTTCTTCAACCAGGTAGTGATTGAAGGAAGGCAAGGCATCAAGGCCAGGGAGGCTGGAATTGCAAAAGACCCAAGATACTGTAAATGATACCCAAGGACAGGAGAAGTCCCTCTCCCCACTAGGCTACAGATTTGGGGGCTATAGGGCACACAATTCTTACCTGGAACATGCCAGGAGAAGTCATTCTCCCCACTAGGCTAGAGATTTGGGGGCTATAGGGCACACAATTCTTACCTGGAACATGCCAGGAGATGTCACCCCATGAGTCACCTGATTGATCAAGCAGGGATAAAAGGAGAGAGCAAAGTCAGATAGGGGTTCCTCTCTGAGGAGAGGTTCCCTGTTGCTGCCAGAGGCTCTGCCAAAGGACACTGTGCTGTTCTAGTGGAGCAAAGCCTACACTGGGTACCGTGTTCTGTGTTAGTGTCAGGAACAGCTTGCTTTGTTATTTTGTGTCCAAGGTGGCCAGTTGGTTCTGGGGATCTGGAGGTGTGTGGATTGTTTGTAATTGTTTACTGCTCTCCAATTCCTCTTCCTGCCCCTTCTTTGTGTGTATTTCTGTCCTGTGTGTTGTAGTGTTTTAGATCTTCCACCCCATCTTGTATATCCTTTTTAAGTGAACCAGTTTTCCCCAAAATTAGGTTGTCATGTGCTGAATCCAGTGTCTGGCACCAGGATTTAGGGACCAGGGAACTCTGGACATTTATGCTCAGAGTGCCGCAGGGAGGTGGGAACTCTGGGGCAGCTGATCGCTAAATGCATATCTCTGAAATATTTATTTTGGATTTGTTCTTACCCATCAACTTGCATTGAACTTGCTGCTTTTGATGCTTGGGATCTCAGAAGGGGGAATTAACTTAGATTGAAAAGACTCTTTCCAATTGGAGAAACAAGCAAGTGTCCTCTTTGGTCTGAATGGTGTGAGCTGATCATTATCTCTACAATTCATGGTAGGTGTGATGCCCGTTGTACCTTCTGTTCATCCCACAAGTCTAAATGCCAGTTACAGGCATGATAATCTCAATACAGTTATGCTGAGATAATATCAGGTCACATGACAAAGTTACAGATGTGAGGATCCAGCATCCTAAGTAAAGCCACAAAATCAGTTGATTATATTTCTTTCCTAAAGAAACTGGCTTTTTCTAAAGCACAGCTTGTTGGCCGTGCAATGCTAAGAAATTCCCTTTTATTTGTTACAATGGTACACGAAAAGCCGAAATAATTGAGTCAAGAATGCTACTGCAGGCTCACTGGATCTCAGGAATCTGCCGGTGGCTTCCATGTGCCCAGATAAGGGCCTGATCTAAGCAGAGGAGGCCCATAGCGGGAGCAAGCATTCCTGGGGGGCCCAGAAGGCCAGAGGCAGGAGTGCCGTCAGCTTCTGGAAGGGCAGGCCAGACTGTGCTCCAAAGGTACAGTGAAAAAGAGTGGAATGGCCTACTGCCGCTTGTAGGTGGCAAGTTGCCCAGCTTTAAGCAGGGTTTGCAAGGTCAGTTGATAATTCCCACAGTCCAGCTGATGCCCACCCACTTTCAGTCAGCCAGGTTTGCAGCACGTGCAGGTGCTGGTAGAGCAGGATTAAGTGCCTGTTGCTCCAGGACACACACACAGACACACACATCCTGGCAGCTCACATGACCCCATTTCTACTATGCTCGCCTGTTGCAATTATTGCCAGCTTTGACGAAGGTGAGCTGTCATGCTTGGTTTTCAAAAGGGGTGATCTTAGGGCTGCAGCCCCAAAGCTTTCATTGGGAGCCCTGGATCTGTGGGTGGCCATCTGCCCCACATCCTGCTGTCCATGGGCACTTGGCTGAAATCACTTGCTGAACTCAAGGGCTCCTCTCTGCTGTGCCAGATGCTCCTGTATTAGCTGGCTTTTTGCCCATGCATTTCCCTTCCTTCATGCCCCCCACCCCACTCTTTCTGCCTGACGTCTTCTCTGAAAGCAGATGGCCTGCTTCCACCTGCTTTGGCAAATAGGGGAGAAGCAAGACCTTAGGAGACCAGCTCCATTTATGGCATAGAGCGACTGTACAGCACATGCAAATCCGTGTGATTTGCTTCCCCTGTGAGCCCCTGCCCCAGATCTTTTCATAGCTAGCCTCGCCTCTGCCCTTTAAGCTAATCACGTGACCCCTGCTGCTTGGATGGATCCTGCTTGAGAGAAAATGCTTGGGCTTCATGGAAGCAGTGTCCCATTTGAGGAGAGACACAAAAGAGTGTTATTCCCCCACTTTTGTCAAGGAAAGCACGACGCCTTTCTTCACACGGTGCATTGATAAACTCCAGGTTCGTTTCCCCAAGCTGTGGCGCTGGCCATCAGCCTGGATCAGCGGCCACATGTCTTCTGAACCTCCAGAATCTGCAGCCTCTGAATGCCAGTTGCTGGAAGCAGCAGCAGCAGGAGGGGGCCGGCGGTGCGGATGTACTTCCCAGGGTCTTCCTATGGGCATCCATTTAGTCCTGGTGAGGACAGCAGGCTAGACTAGATGGGTCTTTGAGTCCCCCAAGGCTCTTCTTCTGTTGCATTGCCAAGGTCTTGAGCAAGCAGCTTTACCAGTCCAGGTGACCTCCTGCTGCAATCCCATAGCAGCCATCCGCCTGAAGGCTTTCATTGCTGAACTGGGCTGCAAGTATTAATTCAGCACCACTTTTGTCTATCTCCAAGGTGTACAAATTAATAGTAATCATGCATATGTGTCCTTCTCATCTTATATGAGTTTTGGTGGCAGGTGGGACTAGGTCGACATGATAGATACACGCGCGCTATTTTTCTGTGAGGGTTTCCTCCTCCGTTATTTTTGGGTACACTTTCTTTGGCTTTATGTATTCCACAAGTTTTGCCACACGGTGGCGCTGCGTCACTAAAGAAAAGCTATTTGACATCTTCCCTGATGTCAGTCAATGCTTCAGTGCAATAATATTGAAAGAATCGTCCTCCCATTAGTGCAGCTTCCTGAAATGTTTTTAAAATTTGCAAGATTACCTTTTAACAGCTTCCATGTTGTCGTCCTCTTTTCTTCCAATTTATGGGTAGGGATTTCTCACTAGAGCCATGGGCTAGAAAGCAAAGATACCAAAGATCCTGCCAGACCAGGCTTTTATTATACATTCATGCAGTTTTGGGGTTCAGAGGTCTCCAGACAATATTGTCTTTCATGTGGAACTTCCCGTGCATCCCCGTTTCTTCCATTTTGTTTTCTTTCCAAAAAAAAATCCATTATGGAGGAAAAGACAGACCCGCTGCACAGTGTCCATTTGGAAGCACTCCAAGTACCTACTGGAAGGTTAAGCCACCTGAGACTTACCAAACAAGGGTGTTTTCAGGACATATCTATCTGCACAAGTTCCAACAAGAGATGGCATCATAATTTATTATTATTTATAAATGAGGAAAACATAAAATAGGAAATTTTACACACAGTACTCATCTAGCCTATTTTAAAAGAAGCACTTTGGGAGTGATTTCAAGTGTAATCCAGATGATGCAGGGAACGAGAGGGTGGCTGCACTTTCTGATGCATACATATCTTTTTGGATCTCAGCTGTATGCATGCAAAGGTGCACAGCATTGTGGAAATCCTGTGTAAGCTCGGATCAAGGGCCAGTTGACATAGCTGAAAAGCATTGGGCAAGCAAGACCTAGAATGGCGAGGGGGAAACATGAAGTCCAGCATCAGCATTTTCTCTAATTGGCCTATCGCAGTTGTGTGAAGGGGAAGGGGACCTCCTGCATGGCATGCCTGTCACCCATAACAGGTGTAGGCTTCTTCACACCCTCCACATCCAATGCATAGAATGGGGTGGGCAACTTGTGGCCCTCTTGTGCAACTGAATTGCAACTCCCATCTGGCCTAGCAAGTGTAGCCAATGGGGAGAAAGGATGGAGGCTGTGGTCCAGCAACACCT